GTTGTCTTTCTTGTATGTCTAAATCTGCTTTATATGAAGTAATTCATAAAATTTATTTCCCCCAAAAGTCTCCCACATAACAGAAGGATATAACAGGAATGGCAAATATATCATGAATGACAAGATATTTTTTTTTAATTAAAATGTTCTGGAGCTTTAATTGAATTACATAATTTCTGTTTTTAAAATATTAATTACAAGATAAATGACGAGGTTCTGGCACGAGGTATTTTTATGTCGTAAACTTAATTTCATTCAGGATCAATACATTTTTTACTCAACAATATAATCCCACTTAGAGGGGCATTAAGACATAACACATGTAGGCACGATTAAGAGAACTATGCAATAGCAAAAGGTAATTTTTTTTTAATACTATTCACATTAGAAGAATTGGAAATGGTGGAATGCAGATCACAAACGTGTATATGGTACGAATGGAAAAACAAACATGTATCATGGCACTGTTCTTTAGAGCCCAACAAGGACGACATAGTAAGAACCACGACTAGATTTGAGACAATAACACAGAATCTGATGAACAAGATAACAAAATATAAAATCTGTACGAGCACTATTATTCATTTGTCTACACTCACATACATTATTCAATGCAATATAGCCTTGAGAAAATTAGAGAACATTTTGTCTAACTGGGAAATCGTGATGTGCTTGGCTTTTGTTTGACTTGAAGATGCACTATGTGCTATGAGTGCATTGCTAGAAGTTGTACCATTTTTGAAATTGGATGAAGAAGTTGAGGTATTTTGAATCTCTAAAAATGTCTTATTTCTCACTAAACATTGTTATAGCTTGATTAAGGCAAACTCAAGTTAATATTTTAGTCAGTGAATTGGAAATAATGTAATAATGAAATTAAGGGTGTTACTTCTTACATCTAAACTGTGTTTCAACTTTCAAAATCTTGGCCCCCAATTCAAAATAAGATATCTCCTGTAAATTGACCAGAATGCCGATCCGCACATCGTAGCTAATATCTATGTTTAAAAGTAAAATGCAGATATATTGCATTTTTACCACTTTTCTTTCTCAAGTACACCATGAAAATGAAGAGTAATAGAAAGAGGGAACATAGACAGGAAGGTGGTAGAGACAAGAAACTTGGCCTAAGATACACTATTAAAAGACACATTTTACTTATTCTATACAACTCTAACTTAGCAAAAGATACACTCCACATGAGTCAACAAAAATGAATATAAATAAATTCTGACAAAATATTCAATCCGCATTACCAAAAAAAAAAAGGTTTAACACTCCAAGGAAATTAACATACAGGGTGACCGAATTTATCATACATGGCAAGATGAAGTTTTAAATGACTTAAATGCTAATATCAACACTACTAATCTTAGGACTCTTGAAAAGAAAATGGTGAAAATGAATACAATTGCAGAAAAAAGTTCAATGTGAAATTTTAACTTGTTTAAGAGAAGAAAAAAAACATCAATGTGAAGGGGGTGTTTTATTAAATTTGATCTACAGTAAACTTAGAACTTGAGGAACATTACATGACACCATGCTGTATAAGTGTAGGTGAATAAAAAAAAAATGAACCAAACTTTTAGATTAATAAATGAAAGGACCAAGTATGTGTCTAGGAACCAATATGAACACAAATGATATCTGCAGAGAAAAAACGTCGCAGTAGATAGCTTTCAAAGATAATCATCAAAAAATTGATATTTAGATAAATATATATATATTGAGAATATTAAATTGGGGGAATAACAGGTTTCTTTCACACACCACCACTCAAAACAATGAAATAACATGAAAAAATAATACCAGTCAAGAAATGCTACTTACATCATTTAAAAACAGGGTATACTCTTCAATAACAAAGATCCCTATACATTTTTGAGACAATTTCAGCATTTCATAAAGAAGTCTTCCCAAATAATTTTGTTTTACTCAATGTTTAAAAAAGGCTAAGTCCACTCCAAAAATAATTTGCTTTTAATAGATGCAGAAAAACAGGAGAAACAGAGCAATAAAAAATTGATTAAAATCAGATAACTAATAAGGATGTTATGATTTTTTGTTAAAGTATGAAACACTATGGAACTTAGAAAATCATTTCACTAATTGCCAATTTGGTTATCATTTTGTGACGTCATTGCCTCACTAACCAATAATTGCTTTATATATTTCTATCCCATTAATTTCCCTTTTTATCCCTCTAAAAAAAAAAAAACACACAAAAAATTATGAACTTTAAAAAAGAATTGATACATTTTCTGAATATTGTATATTCATAATCATTAATTTGTATATAAAATTGGAAATTTATAATATCAATATAAGGAAAACAATTAGTGGATAGTAGACAATGACCTTACAGACTCATGAGAGAGTTGCCAATTTGTCTTGTGATTTTCAAAGACTTTCAAAGTCATTAAAAAATCATAATTTTCTAATTAGTTATCCGATTTTGCTCAAACTTTTTTTGATTGGTTTGTCTGATTTTTCTGCTTCTATTGAAAGTAGGTTATTTTTAGAGTGGACTTGCCTTTTAACAAGGCTTTTATGTAAACATGCAAATAACATCTAGACATACACAGTAAAAATCTATCCAATCATGTAGCTTTATATTGATAATTTTCATCATCGTTCAGGGATTTATTTATTAATTTGCAGGGATGAAATTCCTCATAAAGAGCTCAGAGTTTTGTTTTCCCTCATCTATATAGGCAACTAGTCGATTATACCTTACCGTGTCTTTTATTCTATATAATTCTTCATAATTCAAATCATTTTTATGCAACACAGGAATCCTGTTATATGAGACATATTATTCATTTTCGTTGTGCATTATAAACCCAATATCTAAACAATCTGTATGTTATATATATATTAAGGCACTTTTCTTAATTTTTTTTCTTCCTGAAACAAAATAAAATCTGTAAGAAGTTTGCAAATACAAAAATAATCAATATCTATTAACTTTGCTATTTCTTGATAAGTACATATAAAAATCAAATTAAAGCAATATTCTTTTACTGATAACCCATTGTGACTACCCGCCGTGTACTGACACACATTCTATTAAGAAAATAAATGGAAATACTATATTCACGGTAAAGCTACTTTTAGACTGAAACCTACAATTATCAAACTAGATTCAAGAATGCCTAAAGAAGAAAGATGAGTATGCAAAGTTTATTGAATGCTTTTAAAAAGATTATTTATTAGAGCCTTTAGGCCACCATGACTGTGATTGACCAGTTAAATGGTGTCATAAAATTGGTTCTACAAAAGAAATGCATGATAAAATTGTATCCCTTTGTATCTCTCATAACCTCTTATATGCTGGGCACTAAGTACCTATTTAATATATGAACAAAATTGTTCACAAAGAGCAGAATTTACACAACAGTGAAGACTGTCAATTTGACACATGGCTTTCTGATAAAAGAATTTACAGTCCCAAGCATTACTGTTTTGATCTTACTGTTTTGATCTAGAGATTAACCCCCGATAGAATCTCAATCTCAAATCAAGGCATGCAGACTGCTAATATAAAGTATCTTATTAATCATGTGAATCAAAACAAATTAGTCATTAAGAAGAATTCTCTGAGACCTACCCACAAAGCAAGTCCCTGTCTATCTCTTTTTTTTCAATGAAAAACTTGAAATATAAATATAATACTGCCCTTTCTTTATAATGATAATGACCATCTTTGGTCTAATCCATTATGGAAGACAGTTGTCTCAGGATGACCTTTGAACTACTACATTGCACTTCAATACCATGATAAAAGCAGTCTGTAATATATATCATGAAATAATCTTCAAATATAATACTGGCCACTGCATTTTCACAAGACTCTAATGTTATGTGAAAGCGGGAAGTATCTTGCAAAACATTTTAACCAAAATGTTCAATCGCCTTATACGTACATAATTTTCTCTCTCTCTCTCTCTCTTTTTTTTTTTTGGGGGGGGGGGGTGGCAAATTAAACTACTTCTTTGAAAAAATATTTACAAGCTATACAAATAAAAAAAATCCTTTAATTACTGGATAAAGCAGAGCTCAATATCATTTGAATTCAAGCACACAAATCCCTATTGTTTACCGCCCAACTCCAAGAAAATAAGTTAGTGTTTCGTTGTATTTTGATAAGTCGTATTTCGATGTTTCTATACAGGGATGGCGATGGGCAAGGATAATAAAGTGCTTCAAGATAAATAGGAATACTAGTGTCAAACCCTGCAGAAAAAAGTAGCACATCTTTCACCTTTTCCTTTTAACAATGAGAAATAGTGATCATAGAAATTTATAGAATTTTCGTTGCTATTTGATATTTTCATAAATAATTTGAACTGTCTGATCAAATTCGATAAAGACAGAGATTGCATTTAATAAGATACCTTATAAAGGCTAATGTCTTTTTTATGATACTTTATACAAACTTTCCCCTCTAGCCCCCAAACTAATTCATCACTTATAATTATTACTAAAATATAACAATTTCATCTATTCTTTCATGACATAAGTTCGAATTAGTTTGAACCTCTGATAATGCATATGCCTAACTTTTTGTTGTTCTTATCAAACTGATGGAACTATTATTATACAGACGTTATCTTTCCAAACACACAATTTACCAAAAATGGAATACAATATATCAGCATACCTAGAATGCTTTTACTGAGGAAACATGGCACAAATAAAGTTGACTAAATTTGATGATCGCATTTATCAATAACTTGAATCCACCCACTGGTGGGGTGTTTCACAAAGATCCTAAGTTGAAGTTATCTCTAAGTTGGACTTAAAAATTATGGAAAGCTGTTAACATCTTCGAAAATATTTTGTAAAAGTCATTTGAAAAGTTTTAAAATGTTCCTTCAAAGATTCATATTTTCTGTTATCAAGGAGATTTAATGTTCTTGATGTGGAATTTATGAAAAGTTTAAATACTTGGATTTTTGCTTTTGAATATATCTTATTTTAAGGCTACAAATGGCTCTCCATAATGTTTAAGTCCAACTAAGAGTTAAGTTCGACTTAGGATCTTTGTGAAACACCCCCCTGGTCCCACTGAGGAGTTATGATTAATCTCCAATGTCTACGTCTCTATCACCTAGCGACCATACAATGAGGAAGCCCAGAGCGAGGAGAGCTGTACCCAGGAGGTCGCCTAGAGCAGTCAGGTACGGGATGGAGAAGTTATCAGGATCAAGTTTCTTTCCCCACAGATAGTACACCATCCAATCTGCTATCTGAAGCAGGAATACCACCTGGAGAGTGATGATACAAGACCATTTGTATCAATCATTTGCAATCTATAAAGCTTTCCATTTATTTAATCATGTATCTATCTATCTTTCTATCTCTCTCTCTCTCTCTCTCTCTCTCTCTCTCTCTCTCTCTCTGCTGTCTCTCTACCTATCTATTTATCTACCTATCCTTCTATCTGTCTATATATCTATCTATCTATATGTCTGTCTGTCTGTCTGTCTATATATCTACATATCTATCTGTATCACCTAGTACTGATCCTTTTGATCTCTATTTATTTTTCTATATATCTGCCTAGTTTGTCTATTTATCTTCCATTCATCTCTTTGTTAATCTACCCGTCAAGCTAGTACAGCCAGTTACCCCTAGCCCTTTATTTACTCATTTTGTGGTTTACTTTATAGGATAAAAAAAGTATAATACAAACATAATTATATACTGTCTTGTATTACCTTTTTGGTCCTTTAACATTCTCTTTTGCTCTTCCTGCTATCATTTCAAGAATTGACAAAAACATAATTACTTAAACTTGCTATAATGTATACAACATTGATGAGTGCTTTTACTAAGTTGTGAATTAGGCTACATGTACATCTCCTTTTATTGTCAAAATATGTTTCAAACATCAACAAAATTGTAGTTTGAATAGCTCAGATTTAAACTGGTTTTGATGGAAATGATCCAATTTGTAAACTAGCTTACCTGAATGAGAGATACGGTGACAAACATGATCGTGACTCTGAGAGTAATGGAGGAGTGACCGGCATTCATGTATGAGATGTAGTATAGGAAGATAAGCTGACCAGGGATGACCATCATGATCAACACACGAGCTGACCGGGAATGCATGTCTGACAAGAAAAATTGGGGAAAATGAAATTTAAAAAAAATTCTTGAAACATCTTTGCACATCACACACTAATAAAGTGATAATCAGCAGATCATCAGATGACTTGGTTGTTTGCTTGGTTTCCAATCTAATAACTTCTTGCAAACCAAGAGAAAGGCAGCAAACTGCTTGAAAAAGGAGGCTTTTAATTATAGGCTACAAACCTAAAAATGATATGCAATTAAATGGTGCATGAATGAATGTGCTTGAATCTTCTGACAGCCTTCCTTGAATGAATGTATATAACACATAACCACAGAGAAATAACATTGTATTTCTAATATTGTCATAAATAAAGTGAAATCTATTTTCAATCCATTTTTGGAGCTAGAACAAAACATCATCTCATGACAGTTGTAATAAAAATATGTCTGAGCTGACTTAATGCAGATACAATGTCATAAACTATCAAACATCTTAAGAATTGACTACCCTGGGTTTACCTTTTCCAAAGAAAACTGTAAAAGGCGAGTTGCATTTCTTGATCCTCTCTGGGTCTGGAGTGCCTAGACTACCAATGCCATGAAGGTGTGTAGATATTCTGCTGGACTGCACAGCGACTATGTTGCCTCCGACTCCATTGATAACAGGACTGAACACAGCAACACCCTCGTTGGTACGGATTGCAATGTCCAATACAAGTCCTCCAATGCTGCAACATTTAGAAGATAAAAAGTCATGAACATGTATTTTAAAGCAGCATAGGACAAGGCCAATAGTGCAATAGTGAGAAGGAAAAAAAACAGTATAACTCCATGGTAATACATTGACAAATACATGCTACATATTCCTATTCATGTTTTTTAATTCATTTATTCACAGCTTTTACAAATTTTCAGCCATTATAAAAAAAAAAAAAATGCCCAAAATAAGTACAAGACATATTGTGAGTATTGAATCAACCCATTGACGATAAGGCCGCACCGCCGCATAGGCCACACCTCAAACTTTGACATTTCAAAGAGGAAAAAAAAAAAAAAAAAAGGAAAAAGGAAAAAAAAACCAACGGACAAAACAAAATAATCATAATTTTCTTGTAAAACACTATTTTTTTTTTACAAACTGATACCAAATTCATCAATATTCTTATAATTTACCGGAAGTTTAGCTCAAAAAGTGATCGCGGGCAGATTTGGTGTCCGATATATACCCCTACCACAATGTACGGTGTAATGCAAAACTGCATGAAATGGAAAACAAAATGGCGACTTCGGATGGATGCTTCGCGGCAGCTCTGTTAAATGGTCCTTTTCTTTACTTTTGCAATGCATTGATCAAGATCTATCGGCCAATGTTGGTTTAGCAATTTATTTTCGTCTTCATGTCACCAATGCAAGATAAAATTGTTGGTAAGATGTGTTGAAATGTCCTGTACCATAGTGGAATAGTTATTGTACCGTTCGTAGTCCCATATGTGCAAATTCGTGCTGGTTTTGACTTGATTTTTAATTTTTTTTACTCTTTCGCCGTAAAGGCCGCACCCCGACTTTTTTTAATATTTTCTCTTCCACAAATACTGCGGCCTTTACGCCGGCAAATATGGTACTGAATTATCTCATCGCTATGGAGCCAGCCAGTTCCCATAGGAAATAGGTTAACTTTCTTTCAGTAATTGTTGCAATACTTTATATGCATAGGATTGTGCAAATCATGTGGGTTTTCTGATCCATGTTATAATTCAATATTACATTTCAAACATTTGATTTCAAGACTAAAGTGACCTCTGACCTGCTAATCAGCATGGCAGTAATGACAGGTGACCATCCATTGTAAAACACATCTCTTGTGTAGTCATTACGACAAGCTAGGAATGCCCATAACGGTACCAACAGAAAGAAGACTACAATGATAGTGGGCGCTAACCAGTGTTGCTTCCCTGCAAAAAGAAAGAGGAAACACAGGTCTCTTTAGATTAATTCACTTGAAGAAAAAGAGATTCAAATACAATAAGGCCTAAAATAAAAACTTGTTATATTGCCCTTCGCAACCGACCCAAAAATCTGAAAATCAACGGTCGGCATTTTTATAAAGTTTTTTTTTTTAACCGTTTTTGTAGATTTGTTTATTATTAATGAATAAGAAAATATGTATTTTGTTTGTTGGGGTAAATGGGTTATAAATGCATAAAATCAAATCGTTCCCAAATTTTCACTCGTCTTCTGCCCTAGTTTCAAAATCCTACTGGCGTAAACATCTCGATCAGCACAACATTGCAAACCATGGATTATTATGAGGTGAAAAAGATATAAATGGAATGATGATGCTGAAACACTTGTAGTAAAGCATTAATAACTGAGAAATATCAGCCAAAAGAGGGTGGGAAAAAATTTTAAAAAAAAAAAAAAAAAAATGAAAAATATTGGCCCAAAGAGGGCGACCAATAAAAAAAGTTAAGAATTTTTTTTTTTTTTCGACCGACCGACCGACCCATGTTTTGGCACCCAAAGGGCAATACAACAAGTTTTTATTTTAGGCCTAACATTAATTACACCAAAAAAACACAAAAAACATTCAAATATTTTTTGTAAGAAACATTTTTCAAAAGGTTTGTTAGATATTTTGCAATGATCAATCAAGAAGCCTTACGATATTCAATGTTAACATCTTAACATCCATCAAAATACATTGATTTTGCAGTTTATAATATCATCGAACCATGGCAGAATAGTTTTATCACTTTGCAATAACTATGAGTAAGCATTTATAAATGATTATTAGAAGTAGATGTACATGTTGATGATAATTTTCCTTCATTTCACCCAGTTCCAAGTTTGTCCAGAATTTAAAACTCACCGATATTTTTGAATAAGAGGTTGCTGATCCAAGCCAGAAGGGACAGTGTTATAAGATCTCCAAGGCTTGCTGCTATAGGTGTAGCGACATTGTCTGGGTTGATTTTGCACTTGCGTGATAATAAAATAACTCCTACCATGATGGCACCTGCAAGAGATAAAGAATTTGAAATATCATATATTAGATTAATATGGTTTATCAAAGGTGGTTGAAGTAAAGAAGCACAGAATGAGCGTTTCCAACGCTTATCTTTTAAAAAAAATAGAAACTCATTTACCAGTTTCTTTAAATTCTTCACACTGATTTGAAACTATGTTATCTCTGAATTTGATTTCTTAATCTAAGCATCCGCAGTGCGTCCCAGAAAAAATGAAACCGAGAACTATCGATGACACCTCAATCAAGGAAAATGAGCCAGGAATAACAAAGTTCTGTTTGTTTAAAGTAATGCTTGCTTTTCCATAATTTTATTAAATGGATCCGTTCAACTGGCTGCTTGCCCTAAAAACAAACAAAGAAGACAAAAGACATCATGCATGGCTGAATGTCAACAAAACGGAGTTAAGTCTTTTGTCAACTCTTTTGTCAATTCTTTTATGTCATTTTTCTGTTTTCTATGCCTTCTTTTCTAATAATATGCCCAAGAAACTTACTTAGGTGGCACTTTATTTCAAGCAATTATTTGTAGGGTTAGCTGTAATAAGGAGATATCAAATAGTAGCAGTAGCTCTCTGTCGCAAAGCGACAATGACCGCCTTCACTTTCATGAAGGCTGCTTGCAAAGGTGGGTAAGTACCGGTAGCTCTTGCAAGTTACTAACAGCACTCTCTCGGGGAACTGGTGGCAGTTTCACACCCGCAAGGACAAGCCAGGACGGGTGTGAACCACTAGACCCTGCAGTGACTGGTTGAAGGATGTCGGGAGTTCCATATTGTCAATCAACCTCAATGCTGTCACGGTGGCATGGTTTTCTGTCAGGGTTTGCTCCCTTAACCTTAGATTCTGAAGAGAACCTGAACCACAAGCAGTGGTTACAACTATGTACGGCAATAACAATCAACATTTAAAATAAGGATAATGACATTTAAAATAATTTATCAAATAAGGAGATAACTACCGGTAATAAAGAGGTCCATAACATTTCTTTGACTTACCCAATCCTGCACTAGCTAGTGAAGCTGTGACCATACTACTGGCACACAGGAGTAAGGTATGATTGATATCAAACTCTCCATCAGGAATCCAACCAAACAGGGTTGCTGCTGCAGAAGCTAAGAATCCAACTATGAGGGCCTGACACTGTCATAGAGAGGGGAAAAATACATTTGAGTTCGGTCTACACCTGAAGAGCTATTAACTACCGTACAGACATATAGCATACATTAATAGAATACAAGCTTCAAACTAATTGCAAAAAGTCGACAAAATCTTTGAAAAGACGGTTCAGTTGTGGTAAAGATGAAAAATAATTTTTGAGCTTTCTCATTCGATGTGCAGTATGTACATTTACATGTAAGTGTGGAAAAAGATATATTAGAAATGTCCACTATAGCAATTCCTGTTTGCAGTCCATGTGATTTTCAGCAAGACTAAATCAGATTCTTTTCAATTCGATCCCTTCAAAACAATTCTAATGTACTACATACTCAATAATTAATCTATGATCTTGTACCAAGTTTGAGGTGACAGCAGTATTAGCTCTACATTGCCTCGGTACCATCTACGAACCCAAACCACGTAGTTTAAGATACAAGTGTTTAAAATTCAACTTTAGAATACAAATGTGCAGTACAGCTAATTCAAGTTGACTGCCATATACATGTAAGTAATAAATAGAATGGACAACATCGGTACAATCTGGTTTCTATAGGTCATTGACCTAATATGACCCTTAACCATTAACCATAGTCCTTTACCAACCTAGAGAGGCTCATTTACTATTAAATTGGGATCTATCATATTGACCATTGTATTGACACACTCTGGGTTGTCACAACTCACCTGTGTTAATGCCATGTTTCCCAAGATCATTTCTTTAAGCTTCTTTCTGTCATCCATAATCCCCAGATTAGCCTAAACATTAAAAAAAAACATGCAGGTACACATTATAATCAAGGAAGTTCCACACTAACTTTTATATTAAGGGGCGATCTTATTGGTATTGTCAAACCTGTCTATGATGACCGCCCAAGTGGTGTTTGTAGACAGGTTCATTTAGGACATGTTTCAATGGGAAAACATTTTTTAGAGAAACAACAAATTTGGTCTTTGTAGAGTAGACAGGTGGTCACTAAAGCAGGTTTGACTGTATTGTCAAAGACACAAAAACATGTTGTTCTAAACAAAACGTAATCCCGAGCAAACATGTAGGTACTAGTGCTGTAGTCAAACGTTTAACCGTCCGGTATCCGACCGCCCATGGCGGATTCCGTTTTCAATTGGACGGTTTCGTTTTCCCGATTTTTTTTTTTTTTATTTATTTTTTAATTTTTTTTTTTTTTTTTTTTAATTTTTTTTTTAAATAATTTTTTTTGTTTTGTTAAAGTTTCGATTTATGCCCCTCCACCTGGCACTATGCCTGGCAATGTCTCCCAGCTCAGTAATCTGTGTGTTGACTCACCACTCCAAAACTAGAACAACACTCCAATTTGTGTTGTCTGTCATCTTGGTTTGAAAGTAATCTTTGTAATAGATCTCATCATCTCAATATGTAGTTTATAATAATAATTCATCCAACTTTTACACAAGGTTCTATCCTAGGTCCTCTACTGTTTTTAATTTACATTAATGATCTTACACATTCTTCTAAAAACAACATTGTTACTATTATTTGTGACAAGTTCACAAGCACAAATTGGCCCCTTTAAATGCACCTTGCAGTTAAATGAAAGTTGCCGACAGAGTCGGTAAAAAAAAAATTAAAAAAAAAAAAAAAAAATTAAATTTAAAAAAAAAAAAAAAAAAAAAAAAATTGTTTTTTTTTTAATTTATTTTTTTTATTTTTTTAAATCGTTTAACCGAAAACCGTTCGGTTTTGACTGGCGGTTAAACGGAATTGGAGATATCCGTGATGTTACAGCACTAGTAGGTACACATGATAATCAATAATACACATAACAATCATAACCACGCTATTTATACTAAATACTGGTAGGTTTATTGGTATCAACACAAGGGGAACTAACTATGGGGCGTATTAAAATGTGGGGTTTTCTAATTAATGTGGGGGTCTTTCTAATTTGTAAAGTAGTGTTTGCTGGCTCCCTGATAACTTTGTGTAACAGGCCCTTCAGGAATAATGGGTTTTATCATACCTGAAACCTATGAAAGCATTACATTTGTTTTGTAGGTTGAATGGATTGATAAGCCTACAGTGTATATGTATGCACTCATGCACTGTAAGCTTTGATAGAAGTACCAAGGTTGGTAATGACACTGGGTATACGGTTCATAAGGTTTATATTTACTGCCCATTTAACAATGGAAATTTGTTGTGTTACATGGTATTATGATACACACATACATATAACAAATACTCTCATACAAAAAGTCAATATAATAATTTTTGAGTAGAAAGAAGGAGAACAAAAATTAACAATCAAAACAAAGATATACAATGTAGCCATGCATTGAAAATAATATACATGTACAGCAAGTGAGGTGGAATGATGATAAGTTTTTACAAGTATCGATAATGTATGGAGAGGGTTTGAAGAGTACATCATTGTAATATGGTTTAACTTAAACTGAATCAGTGCCTTCACGGATAGAAACAATTCAGCAGCAAAATAACACTCGTAGATTTTCAACTTAATAGGAAATTAAGAATATATCACACTTACTGCAGTTGATAGTCTTGAAGCTAATGTCATTTCTAGATTCCCTTTCAAACCAAGTAATGATGGAACCAGGATAAACAACTCTGTTACTTGAACAAACACTGTCCAATGCTGAATAGAATGAAAGAAAAGGCAAAGAATTGTTTAAAAGAACAATCCCATCCTTGTACAGAGTTCATATGAATGAAAATACACAAATCTAAGAAACAGAATGGTGAAAGTTTTAAATGAATTGAACTAATAATAAGGAAGTTATGAATGTTTGACATAGCAAAATGTCATAATAATTGAATAAAAATAATACAATTTAGTCATTTTGTGTGTTGGAACAAATGGGAAAGTTGTCCGGCACTACATAACGGTGACATTACCAATTCAGCCAATCTGAAGTGCCATACGTATAGTTATTACAGCTTTTTACATCTCATAACTTACTTATATTTTTGTCAGATTTTGTTAAAACTTCCACCAATCTGCTTCTCTCATTTTTCTGCTTTCTTTTAATAGAGTTGTTTACTATTAGGGTTGGATTTCCCTTTAAGTTTTTTAATCCTACTGTATACCTGCATAGAACAGAGTGATGAAAGTGAACATTTTCCTTGGGCGAAGCTCATCTATTATTCTTGCTTACGTTGTACTAGTGCCTCAAGTGCCTCAAACGAGCACACAGAAACTCAAGATGAGCAGTCATTATGCTTTTCAACAATCATACTTTCAATATTGCTACCATGACTGATTGTCAATTCAGTTTCAATAGCATATATATTGTGACAGAAATACATATATCCAAACTACATTTAACCACACAGTTAATTCAAATTCATTCAATTTTCAAAAGCATACAATGTATGAATTATCAAACAGGCATTGTAATATTTTGCACCGTGGCATGTACTGTACAATTGTACATATCAGATCATTAATTACTTCCTTCATCAACTTCATATCTATTACATTAAACAAGACTAAGAGTTATTATTTTTATAGTCAAACCTTAAAGGCATCGTTTAACAATGTTACATCTGAGATGCATGGCCCTACGTGTTATAAGTGTCTGTGATTTGGTATAATATTAAAGCCCTAAAAAAATTAATTGCGCTTCAAAATGATCATGAAGTGCCTCAAAAAAGTAAAAATCTTTGAGTGACCGGTTTTTCCGGTCCATTTCATTTCATTTTTCATTTCCCCCAATAGACTGTAGTGTTATAAAAACTGTTAGGAAACAAGTTTTTAAATTTAAATTTCCAATCATAAATATCTTGATAATCAGACAGATGATTGGCTTGTAAAAGAAATGGGGTTCCTGATTGACCTAAAGGTTTATAATTATAATTGCAGCATGAGCTAAATCCAGGATTTTGTTTCAGAATCTGAGACAAAATTACCCAAATAATCCCTTTAACCTACATGTACATGTAATGATCCATCTTCCATCCAACAACATACCAAAGAATATGAATGCAGAAAGCTAGGAAAAAAAGTTAATCATCTAATAACAACCGCCCAGTACTAACCTGAACATGATCAAGGACAAGGCCTGCATAGACTGTTCCAAAACCAGCGATAAGGAAGGGCAGAAACACCTGAGCTCCGATACCGCATGAGGATTCCTTGGGATAAGATCTGTGCTCTCTCTCCTGCATGAATGTGGACAATCCACCATCCCCTTCACCTTCATCATCATCATCACTTGATCTTGTGGTTCCAAGCAAAGGCTCTGTAAGGCTAGTCTCAATTTCAATACCCTCTGGCTCATGGTCCACACCGTTACGACTGTCATTCATCGTCAGGCCATTCTGAGTTATATATTTTGTGTGTTCATTTCCAGTTCCTCTTTCGTCTCCTCCTGGATCATCCTCCACACGAGTTTCTCCTCTGTCCCCAGCTGGAACCCCTCGAAGCGGAAGCAACGATTGGCCATCTAAGGGTGAGCTGGCCACTACTCTAGGTACCATGGTGTCTTCGGTCTTGCCTTTCCCTGTTCTGTGCCTCAGATGGGGGACAGGAGGAGGGGTAGAAACTGGTGGATTAGTGCTCTCTTGTGAACTCATTTGGGTCGATGGCTAATGTTATCATTTCTTGATGGAGCTTTCAAATTTTCTTCCACGACTTCTGAAAAAAATAAAAGAGACACAAAATATTTGCAGTATTAGTCAAAAACCCAGTCATGATGCCTTTGTTTCATCCTCTTTTGATTGTTTACCCTTAACCCCTAAAATGCCATGAACATGTTACAATGTCATCAGTCCTGCCAACCTCTGGAGTTCAAAAACTGTATTCTTTAATCCCCAAAGTTGTATTTTACTGATAAAAGTTGTATTAGAAAAAAAAACATGGATCAATGCCTCTACAGTTCCTACAGAAGAATTTTTTGTATGGATCATTGGTTGAATAGAGGGAGAGACAGAGACCGTCTCTTTCAACAAAAAATTATGATCAACCTGGTGTGTTAATGTGATCGTTTATGAGAGTTAGTTTATCTGACAAAAAGGAGTATTCTGACTTACGTCATGGGCTGAAATAGCGCCATCTACGCTTTCCTAATTCCGACATAGCAGTAGCAACGAATTGGATGTTCGCACCGAAATCTTGTCCTAAATTACACCTGTTATTGATACGAAGCCAACCCGTTTGCAACAATAAGGAGGCAAGAAGTTTTCACGGAGCAAGTGTGATGGAATTAGTTGACATAGAATAAATTAGCAAGTCAACCCTACTACGACTTTTCATTGACTGTTTCTTCAGTGAAAACTTCACTTCACTACGACTTGCAACCTGCGATGACGTCGTGATTCAGATTACGTGATTTGGTACAAGATGTCGGAAGTGGACATGATGGGGGACAAGGAGAAGGAAAACCCTGTTGCTGAAGCTGTGGACACAAGGTCAAAGCGAGAAGTCAAACTCACTGAGAAAGGTCTGCAGTATCAAGCTGAAACAAAAGGGAAGGAATTTAAGAGATCCATTAGTGCTTGGCGTAGAGCGTCGAATAAGTTAAGAGCTACCTTGAGCGACATCAGTGATGTCAAAGTTATTCGACAAGGTAGGGACGCTCTGCAGCAGGTGATGGACAACGCCATATCCGCTCAAGAAGACCTTCAGATTCTATTGGAGTTGGCAGGAATCGACGATGACAGCCATGAAAGGCTTGACAACATCGAACAAGAACACTCAGAGCTGATGAAAGGAGTACAAGAACACCTCCTCGAACAAGAATCGTCAAGAAAATCTAAAGTTTCATCGAAAAGACTATCATCCTGTCAAAAATGGGTGAATGAATGCTCGTTTGAAAGCCAGGATGATGTGCCGACTAAAGATGTGCCGACCAAAGATGTGCCAACTGAAGATGTTCCGACTACAGAATTGCCGACTAAAGAACCCTTGTTAAATTTGCTGACTCAGCTACAGATTAGTCGCTTGCCACTGCCAGAACCAGATATCTTTTCTGGGGATCCACTGCAATACCCTAGTTGGAAACAGGCCTACGACATCTTAATGGAACATCAAGGTATTCCTGCAAGGGATCGATTCTTCTACTTAAAGAAGTATCTACGTGGCCCACCTCTCGAACTCGTGCAAGGATTTTCTCTGATACACAATGATATGGCATACAATCGAGCTACGAGTGAACTAGAACAGAGATATGGTGATCCATTCATCATTTCGAATGCATTTCGTGACCGACTGGATAACTGGCCAAAGATACCTACAAAGGATTCCAGAGGACTGCGTAGATTCTCTGATTACCTACGACAATGCCAAACAGCAATAGAAAAGATCAGCAACCTCCGACAGTTAGATGACGAACGTGAGAATAGGAAACTCCTATCCAAACTTCCCGATTGGCTTGTTACTAAATGGAGCCGACGAGTCTATGAGCATAGGAGGTCACATGGTACATTTCCTTCATTCGGTACCTTCTCATCATTCATTGAGGAAGAGAGTAACATTGCATGTGACCCAATCACGTCCATTGGTAGCCTGAAGGAGGACAAACCGAAACAGGACAGAGGAAAATCCATGAGAGCGTTAACTATGAGAACCAGCTCCATCCAAGATGAGACAAAGAGGCCAGAACGGAAATCATTCTGTATATTCTGTAGAAATCATCATCACCTTGAGGATTGTCAAGCCTTTGTCAATCAGCCTATGTCCGAGAGGAAGAAGTTCATAAGAGAAAAGGGCTTGTGTTACGGGTGTCTCAAGAGAGGTCATCTGACCAAAAAATGTCGAGTGAGAAGCACATGCAGAGAGTGCAACAAGCGTCATCCTACGCCACTACACTTTGACAGAAGACCTTCAGAAGAAAGGGAAAGGACATCGAACCAGGAAGAAATACAATCTTCAAATTCACATACACTTGTTAATTCTAACGCCACAAGTTATGTGAAAAGCGCGGCAATCGTGCCAGTCTGGCTGTCTCATGAGAATATGAAGGAAGAGAGGCTCGTATACGCACTATTAGATACTCAATCGGATACCACCTTCATATTGAATTCTACAAAGGATGCCTTAGGACTTCATGGACTGAGGGTCAACCTTCTTCTGTCTACAATGTCGACCAAGAACGAAAGGATTCCAAGTGAGAAGATTAAAGGACTCACAGCTCGAGCCTTTAACAGTGAAAAGGTGATACACCTTCCAGCTGCATACACTAGAGACATAATGCCAGCCAACAGAGAACACATCCCCACTCCTGAAGTAGCTCGCTCTTTCCCACATTTGGTTCCAATTGCTGACCAACTTCTGCCTCTGAAGCACTGTGAAATAGGGTTGTTGATCGGCTATGATTGTGGAAGAGCTCTGACTCCTCGAGATGTGATTCCCTCCCAAGACGATGACGGTCCATTTGGAATGAAAACTGACTTGGGATGGAGCATAGTGGGTGTTACAAGTCAAGATGAACAGCACTACAACCCCGATGATCACGTTGGCCACAGTCATCGCTTGACAGCACGTGAAATACCCGCTGAACTAGCGGAAAGAGACATGTCCATCAAGAAGAGAGTAACGTTCACTCACAACGTTACAATCAAAGAAGAGATCAGCCCTTCGTCTGTGCTGAAGCTGATGGAAAGAGATTTCTCAGAGAGCAGAAGTGAGGTACCATTTTCGCAACATGATACAAGATTTATGAGAATCATGTCGGAGAATGTCCATATCACAGATGATGGTCATTACGAGACTCCTCTTCCCTTTAAAGAAGATGTCGTCAACCTTCCCAACAACAGATTCATGGCGGAAAGGAGATTGAGTCATCTAAAGAGAAAGTTTCAAAGAGACTCTGAGTATCATCAGAAATACTCGGAAAAGATGGATGCTCTCTTGGAGAAAGGATATGCTGAAAGTGTACCAGAATATGACAAGCAGAACGGCCAAGCATGGTACATTCCCCATCATGGGGTAGTACAACCCAACAAGTTACGAGTTGTGTTTGATTGCAGTGCAGAATTTGGAAAGGAATCTCTCAACAAGCAGCTTCTTTCTGGACCAGATCTGACTAACACACTAGTGGGAGTACTTTGCAGGTTCAGACTGGAACCAATCGCATTTTGTTGCGATATACGTGAGATGTTCTACCAATTCAAGGTGAAGGAAGATCATAGGAAATACCTACGGTATTTGTGGTGGAAGGATGGAGACTTTCTGCAACAGCCCCATGAGCTAAGAATGACTGTCCATTTGTTTGGGGCGACGTCGTCTCCAGGATGCTCAAACTTTTGTTTGAAACAGATTGCCAGCGACCATGCTATTGAATTTGGAGAGGATGTAAAGAACTTTGTACATCATAACTTCTACGTGGACGATGGGCTAATATCTGTTCCTACCAAAAAAGAGGCCAAGAATCTGATCTCGAGAACCAGAGAGATGTGCAAGAAAGGAGGCCTCCACTTGCACAAATTCATCTCAAACACCCAAGAAGTGCTGGAAACAGTTCCGGAAGAGGATAGAGCAAAGGGCACTACCAAGACTAATCTCCTACAGGATAAGCTTCCTTTGCAGAAGGCACTTGGGGTGCAATGGTGTGTGGAATCTGACACGTTCCAATTCAGAGTCACACTCGATGACAGACCTCTAACCAGGCGCGGAATACTGTCAACCGTGATGTCGATCTATGACCCTATGGGATTACTAGCCCCGATTGTCTTACCTGGTAAGCAGATTCTGCAAGAGCTGTGTAAGATGTCTGCTGATTGGGACGACCCCCTGCCAGATCATCTCAGAGAAAGATGGGAGAAATGGACAACTGATCTGCATAATCTTGACTCCCTATCAATACAGAGATGCTACAAACCTGCAGACTTCGGTGAGGTTACGACCATGCAGATGCACCACTTCTCCGATGCTAGTTCCGAGGGATACGGCCAATGCTCATACATGAGAATTAAGAATGGAGAGGGAAGAGTCCACTGTATCCTGGTGATGGCAAAGTCCAGGATTGCCCCGCTCAAGGCAGTAACAATACCCCGTTTGGAACTATCAGCTGCCGTTGTTTCCATTAGGGTGAGCACATTTCTTCAGCGAGAGTTAGCCTTGGAGGACATTGAGCATATCTACTGGACAGACAGCAATGTGGTACTTGGATACATAAACAATGAATCGAAGCGGTTCCATGTGTTCGTAGCAAATAGGATCTGTGAGATCAGACAACACTCAGAATCATCGCAGTGGAAGCACATTCGAACACAGGACAATCCAGCAGATGGAGCTTCCAGAGGGTTTACCGTTGACCAACTCATCACTTCGAACTGGTTCACTGGCCCAGATTTTCTATGGGAAGAGACGGTTCCTCGCGCTGATGATCAGGAGGAATTCGAGGTTTCACCAGGTGACCCCGAGGTGAAGAAGTCTATGGTGAACGCGACTGTAATGGGTGACTCCAAGTTTGATCTGAGTCGCCTAGACCGATTCCCGACATGGTATAGAGCAAAGAGGGCGATGGCTTATTGTCTGCTGTTCATCACAAGACTGAAACAACGTTGTCAAAGAAAACGTACAAGACAGGCAAATGATGACTCAACTTCCCAAGGCAAAGTCTCGGTGCAGAATCTACAACAGGCAGAAACTGAGATACTGAGACACGTCCAGAGTGAAGCCTTTGGGGAAGAAATAGAAATCCTGAAGTCAATCCAGAGGAAACAGGATCTGAATGACAGGCAGAGAAGACGTCAAATAAAGAAAGAAAGTCGTCTCCATGGACTTGACACTTTCCTGGATAAAAAGGGAATTCTAAGAGTTGGAGGAAGAATTCGAAGGGGAGACGACTCATATGACAGAAAGCATCCCCTGATTCTCCCACAAAGAAGCCACGTAACGGACCTTGTGATACGTCACTGTCATGAGTTGACTGCTCATCAAGGAAGAGGCATGACATTGAACCAGATAAGAGAGAATGGATTTTGGGTTCTTGGAAGCAGTAATCGAGTGGCCAATTTCATACGAAAATGTGTCATATGCAATAGGCTACGTAGTCCCGCACAATTACAGAAGATGTCTGATCTACCGTCTGACCGTGTGTTACCTGCAGCACCTTTCACTTACTGTGGCATCGACTGCTTTGGCCCATGGGTGATAAAAAAAGGTAGAAAGGAGATGAAGCGATATGGACTCCTCTTCACATGCATGCCTTCGAGAGCCGTGCATATTGAGACACTCAATAGTCTGACTACAGACTCATTCATTCAGGGATATCGTCGCTTTGCTGCTCTGAGGGGTCCAATACGTCAACTGAGATGCGACAGGGGAACGAACTTCGTTGGCGCAGAAGCAGAGTTAAGGAAAGCGTGGTCAGAAATGAATCACGAACATGTCAAAGGCACTCTAATGAAAGAAGGATGTGACTACGTACAGTTCACTTTCAACGTCCCCGCGGCAAGCCATATGGGTGGAGTATGGGAGCGCCAAATAAGATCTGCCAGGAGAGTGCTTGAAACTTTGCTGTATCAATCGAGTAGACAACTCAATGATGAATCACTGAGAACACTGATGTATGAAGCGGCTGCAATTGTCAATAGCAGGCCGCTGACTGTGACTGACCTGAACGACCCAACATATTTGGCTCCTCTTACGCCAAATCATCTCATAACCATGAAGTCGAAAGTCTTACTTCCTCCACCAGGCAATTTTCAGGACGCTGATTTGTACTCCAGAAAGCGTTGGAGGAGGGTACAACATCTGATTAACGAGTTCTGGGATCGTTGGAGAAAGGAGTTTCTCCAGAACTTACAGACACGCCAGAAATGGACTCGGCCCCGACGGGATGCTAAGATTGGGGATATCGTCATCATGAAAGACGAGAACTTGCCACGAAATCAATGGTCCCTAGCAAGGATAAGCAAGGTCTTTCCTTCTACCGATGGACTCATTCGTAAAGTGAAGCTCGTAAAGGGTGACTCCGAACTTGACGACAGCGGTAAGCGTAAAGGACCTGTGAAAGAACTAGAGCGTCCGATACACAAACTGGTTTTGCTGCTTCCGCGTGAAGACCAGGACGGATTCCCGACCAAGGAGCCTTGAATACTGTAAGGTAATTAATATCCCTCACAAATAGGTTTTGATAGATTTAAGTAAATATAGAAGTCTGAACATAAGACTATCCAAAATTCGAATTACCCGCAAAATCTGAAAGTCTAGAATAAGACTAGTCAAATAATCTAATTGAAGTTTTAGAACCAAGAATATCTGTAATTGGTCTGTAACAAAGACTATGCTGGAACTGTAACTACAGACGCACATCAGCTGAAATGAAGTCTAATTGAACAGAGTAAACTCTTGAACTAATTGATCTGATTGAACAACAACAAGAACTCTTTTTGTGGATTGACGACATTTCCGAATGAGCTGTATATTAATGACCTTTATTGCTGTTTGTTTTTTGTTCTCTGTTTGAAAAAATGTAATCTTATCAAATTGGAAGATCGAGCATATGACAACTATATTTGTAGAAAACGGAAATTAAGTTGATATACCTCATTTTATCGCATTAATTACCTTGCAAAAAATTACAATGTGATTGCACTTATAAGAATGTATTTAAAGGGTATTTCAGTTCAATTTCATCATTATGCTTGTATGTATTGTATACATGAATGAGCATTAGATGTGAACCTGAATTGAAACCCCCCTTTTGCAACGTAAATTCATGCAGAGTATTTGAACTGAGAGTTGATCCAGGTTATTTTCTCGATTTCTAAATCCAGTACTTGCAAATACAGCTAATTGCTAGTCATAAATGGTGAGTTGCAAGGTCTGAGTGTTTTGAGACTCGCGGTTAAATTTAATTTAACTCAGATGCTGTAATAAGATACTTGGTACAAGCTCTGTACTAGAGATGAAGTAATCTCACGATACAATTTGAACTGTAAATCTTGAATAAAGATTTGTTTTCCTGCATGCGCAATTGATCATGTACGTTTCAAGATAAGTAGAAATTGAAATTTTGAGATGTAGATCTATATGTATACATATATTGATATATTTTGAACTATTAATGTTGATAAGGAACAAATAATCCAAGTCATTTCTATGAAGCTAAAAAGGGGTAAATTAATTATTAATTTAAAGGAGCCATGTTAATGTGATCGTTTATGAGAGTTAGTTTATCTGACAAAAAGGAGTATTCTGACTTACGTCATGGGCTGAAATAGCGCCATCTACGCTTTCCTAATTCCGACATAGCAGTAGCAACGAATTGGATGTTCGCACCGAAATCTTGTCCTAAATTACACCTGTTATTGATACGAAGCCAACCCGTTTGCAACAATAAGGAGGCAAGAAGTTTTCACGGAGCAAGTGTGATGGAATTAGTTGACATAGAATAAATTAGCAAGTCAACCCTACTACGACTTTTCATTGACTGTTTCTTCATTCTAATACTCAACACTTTATAGCTAAAAGCCGTATTCAATATGACACAGCTTCTCTTCATAAGTTGAACTCCCCACACCATGTCTTCGTGCACCAGCGACTACCCTGCAAAGTTCGGAAGACCATATTAACTGATCTTGGCTTTGGTTGGTCAAAGAAAAAGTTGAAAAATTAATCCCAAAAATTACCTGAAAATTGGAAATGAAATGAAAATATAATTTTTTTCCCCGAAGGGAAGGGGCACGTTAACACACAATGCGTTAACTGCCATCCGCCTCGCGGGTGGGATTCGAACCGGAGATCTTTTGTTTGACAGGCAGACGCTTTACCGACTGAGCCAATTAACTCGCGTTCCTCGCCTCCCTTTGTTGAACTTGTTTTGTTGTAGACAGTTAATCTAGGTTCTTAAGTATAACTCTATAAACACATTCACCCACTATCAATATCACATTCACACATGATGCTGTGATGCAGCTGTACTCTGCATCTATACTATTGCCAAATGAGTATTGGCTGCTATTACTTAGTCTTTAGTGCACTACCCTGATAGTGATAGTTGGTTCGACTAGATTATAGATACCGGGTACCGTACCGGTACCTCTGCGGTACGACAAAGTCTACAAATTGCAAATTTCAAGAGAAAGAAGACGAAGACTTACAGACAATATTCTCTGGATCGTTTTGGGGTACGGGCAAAAGTAAGCCTGCAGTAAACCAACCGTCGTCAAGTCGTCAGATCAATCAAATAGTCTTTGCTCGTGCATCTGATCTAGCCATACATGTAAATGTACGCATATGTTTGTTGCCGTTTGTTGACGTGGTGGATTGCATTTTACACGCAAAATATGGCATTCAATTATGCGTCATAGCCGCGCCGTCATAGCATGCAAGGATGGCTTTCCATATACCAATAAACCGTGCGATTGGTGGAAAGTGGTGGTCATGATGCAAATACTTGTTTATGTTTGATGCATCTTAGTTAAAAGTCATGATATTATGACTTACTAGATGGGTTACTAGCTGCGATCCCGGGGGACGGGGGGGGGGGGGGGGATTTGAAAAAGTGCCCTCCCCCCCCCAAAAAAAAAAAAAAAAAATGTATAGCAAATACTGAATAAAGACACACTTTTAGGCTCCGGAGGGCTCAAGAGTGCACAGTTTAGACTAATAAAATGCAAAAAACTTCTCGCTCGACCTGTCGCTAATTTATACCATAGTTCGAATGTACAAATAAATATAGAAAACCTGTATGTCTAGTAGGTCCATGCTGCAACATGATAGTCTATATTTGCCAGGCTTATATTTGCCATTTTAACCCCCATAGCGATATCAATATACCAGGCGCGGATCCAGGATTTCTTAGGGGAGGGGGCCCAACTTTTTTTTTTTTTTTGCTCCCGAAAATTTGAAAATCGCGCAGGCCGAAAAGTCGCTCAGTGGGGGGGGGGGGGGGAGGGGGGGGAGGGGGGGGGGGGAGGGGGGGGGGTTAAGAGGACACCTTTTTTAGGTCTTATTATTTTTTATTTAAAAAAATAAAAAAATAAATAAAAAATAAAAAGGGGGGGGGGGGGTTCCCAAAAAACATACACAACTCATTAATTGCTGGCAAAGTAAAAGTGAAGTGTGAGAAAAGGGTATATTGCTTGATTTAATTTTATACTATGGTTTTGCTCAGGAAAGTAATTATTTGTTAACACAATATAACTTTTAAAAAACCTGAGGGGGATAGTCACTGCCGTCACCTTCGCCCCTCTTCCCTCGTACTGGCGTGTTTGGGGCTTGGGAGCACTTACCCCCACCCCCAATAATTTTGTTTTTGTTTTTGTAAGTTATACTATTTCATGCGTTTACGCTTATGCTTATTTAGAAGCCTACGTGTAAGGGGTCGTGGATCGGTGTGGCTCAGGGGGCTTGACCCCTCCCCCCCCCCCCCCCGGCCCCTCACTTTTTTGGAAAAGTTTATTGAAGAGAAATATAAAGAAAGAAAGGTTAGTGACCCTGCCAGTGTCATGAGATATCAAAATATGATCATATGACCGTAATTAAATACGTAAAACCCCTGAGCTTAAGGGGGCTTTGCCCACTGGACCCCGCAAGTGGCCCTAAGGCTAGCCCCTGGATGCTCATTTGACCGTAATTAAATGCCTAAAACCCCTGAGCTTTAGGGGGCTCCACCCGGCCCTTATATAACTCCATGCAAATTTATGCTCCAATTGCTTCACTCTTCCTTATTATTAATACTTTAGCCCCCCTCCCACTTTGAAAAACTTCCCGTGGGGCATGCATGTAATATAATTATATAAGAGTGGTGATGATGCGCATTTTTTTTCTTATGTCCCCCCCCCCCCCCCCCAACGTTTTTGCTCATTATCCCACGTACTGGTCACTCGCATTTCGTTCCCCTCCCCCTCCCCGGTCATGAAAAGAAATCCTCCCATGTCACATCTCTCTCTCTGTCTCTCTCTCTGTCTCTCTCTATCCCTCTCTCTATATAGCCCCTTCCGTATAGCTGTATTTTTTCTTATCTCCTTCTCTCTCGATATGCTGTTATGATTTTACTCCAACCATTATGTTAAGCGCTATAATATTCCAAATGTTGGGCCTCTTAAAACTGTGCTCCGGACTCCCACTCAATTCATTTACGGAACCCTCTTTCAGCCCCCCCCCCCCCCCTATTATCTCCGGTGTGAAAGTCAATATGGCGGGCATGCAGGACTTTGTCGCGCGAAAAAGTACCCCGGAGATTTTGGAAACACGCAAGCGGTCCCTCTGAGTGGGGGTGGGGGGGGGGGGGGCCATTGCGAATATCCAATACCCTAGCTACTCAGACCTACTTCTCCGAAATAGAGGCCCAATGCATATGCGCGCTTCACTCATGTGGCAGTGCTGAAGTTCTATATTATTGTAGTCTCACTCTCAATTGACATAGTGAGTTCGATTAATCCTTCGGGCTGCGCTAGATTTGTTCTTTCTTTGATATCCGAGATGTTGCAACAATCCCAAATGATGGAAAAGTAAAATGGGGACTAATAGGACTTGTACGCTGCTTCGATCTCTAAAAGACTGCGGAAGATGCTCATGTGTGTTTTGACTCAACACAATCACAATTGTTGCGGGTTGGCCTTCTTCTATTTGCGTATGGAGGGGGGGGGGGGGTGTTTTGGGTGTTTAAACAGCCCCCCATGGCAAACAGGGGGTGTTTTAGGTGTTCAAACACCCCCCCCCCCCCCACCTTGGAAAAAGAGGGTTGTTTACTTTTAGAATTGTAAAGACCCTTATTATCTGTGTTTTATGTTCTATGGCCTCCCCTGGTCCCCTTTTTCTTTTTGCTCAAGGGTGGGGGATGTTGAGGGAAAAAAAAGGAGTGTTCTGTGATTATTTTTTATACGCCCGTTTTGTTTTATTTCTGTGTTTTTTCTTTGTTCTGTTTTATTCTGTTTATTTTGTTTTACAATGTTTGGGGTCCGGGTTATAATATATACAGAGTACACAGATGGCTTGCCATACTTAGATGCCATTTTCAGTCCAAATTTTGGAGACGGTGGATCTTGCCTCCTGCGATGTCTTCCTCATTGGTGCTGAAAACTGACGCCTTAAATGTGCTGAGATGTATTGCAAGAGAACTAAGATATGCGAATCCTAAGGTAAGGTTCAGGTGTTTAAGAATGAATAAAAAATGAGTAAAACATTGCTTGATGCGATGAATAGACGAAGCCGAACTGCGGCGCATGTCAGACAGTGCAGAGAGAGAAAGGGAGCTACCGCGCGCCTACCGGTGCGGGTACATCTCCCTTCCCCTGATCACGCCGCGCTCTGCACCAGGGATGTGATATGTCAGTGGCTCCATTAATAGTTAATATTATATCCCTCATGACTGTATAGTTGTTTGCGTTGCGATTGTACAGAGCACAAAAAAGGTATAGATAAGTACTATCTACCTGAGATAGGTCTTTTTGTAAAGTAATTTTTTGCTGCTGCCCCACTTGCGCGACTTGCGCATTGAATAAGCATAGCAAAGTAGGTTACACGAAATGTCAAAGTCAATGTCAATGTCAATTAGCGCGCATCGACTGTATTACATGTACGCATGTTGTGCTTTGTAAAATCTAGCTGAAGCTAAACTGTCTGCAAAATCAGTTGTTTTAATTATGTAAAACTCACTTTAAATAGACCTTAAACTAAAGTCCTTATTGCCGATGTGGGATATAAAACAAATATTAACCTCCTTTACTCGGGCAATGGATACAAACTATCATCGCCTCGGTGATCTCGGCGATGATAGTTTGCACCATTACCCTCGTAGTCGATTAATATTTGCTTACTATTCTGTCGATCTCGATCTATTTGACTATTTGACGCACTTATTCTGTTAATATTCAAAGGGCTATGCTGTTTTTATGCAGCGTATCACAAAGATCTAATTTATGTAGAAAGAGTAAGGTTAAGGTTGTTGCTGATGAGTGATGTGATAGATTTAGAATTGGAGGTTGTTGCCATGTCGGTCACTCAAAAAGGGCAGTGCCAGTGAAGCTTAAGGGTGTTTCTTTAAATTTGTCAAGAGTTTCTTGAACTAAAATAAAGTAGCTGTACATTAAAGATAAAGTTGAAATCTGGTCATGCAATTGCATTGTGAAAGAAAAGGTGTGGAATGGATAAGAAAAAGTTGATCATGTAAACATGTAAGTATTGGTGTGTACTGCAAGGTTCTGGAGTCATCAAAATCATAATAAATTTGGCCCTGTCTTGGTAAAGTAACAAGCACTGTACACTGAAAGATGTATATGGGACTACACAAGTGGTGTCGGAGCCTGGCACCTTAATTTCCTTATCTTTCTATGCTCATTACTCTACCATTATACATTTGCACCAAAATTGATTCTGTGAGAATTCATTTTCTTTTTTTTTAACCAGAACTCAAGTTTATCTTTAGCCTTAACTTTTCTTCAAAATTAAGTTTAACAAAAAGTCTAACATGTCCAAGGTCTAAGATTTTCTTTGTTTATTGTGATCTAATAATACTCTCAGCCCCAGGTTCAGGTAGATCCACAATCTAGTAGATTATGGAGGAAATGGTTTGGTAAAGCCATAGTTCTTTAACATTGTTAAGACCTATTATTTAAAGTTGATTACTTTTTCCATCTTCAATCTTTTTTTTACCGCTGATATTGTGCTATATATATATATATATATATATATATATATATATATATATATATATATAGTCTTACCTTGCAAGTAATTTTTGCTGTATTATTTGTTCTCTCTTTCTCTCATGTTTCATTAGTCATCTCCTCGGAACTTGCTAGGTTTCCAGTACCTCATGAAGCAGTATAGAGAAAACCAACTCACCCAAGAGCAAGTATGCAGGTCACACAACAGCTTGCTGCACAATGCACAGACCTATTTGTGTCTACTTCGCAGTACCAGGGAATGCGAGGTAAATTAAGTTCATTTTATGTTTAAATGGTCTTGTAAAAAAATGCCCATTGATCATACTTGCTTAAACACAGAAGACATATATGCAACCCAGGACATTAGAAAAGAAATTAAAAGAATTCAGTATAAAGATAAGATATATGTGTTACATTTTCTTGATGACCTGTGTTTATTATAAAAGCTTGGAAATTTTGCTTTTTGCCAGATGTTGTTTTAAAAATGTGCAATAATCTTTATTCTATGTTTTGTGTATATATTCCATGAAATAGTCGAATTATTAGGGAACACAGGAAATAAATAAAAATAATCAACATAATGAAGTATTTTCATTATTATTATTTGTTTGCTTTGTTAGCTAGATTTGGTATTACATTTTGTTTGATGAACAAATTTTTGTCAAATAATATTGAAATAGAGATGAGCAAGAATTTATTTTCTACATTTGTGAAAATGAATCAAATATCTGAATTCAAATTTAAAACACAACTCCATTTTGCCAGCTAATGATACTAGTAGCTATTTTACCCTAAAATTCACTGATCATCCAGACTAAGCAAGTATTAAGGATAAAGGTAAAATGTGAGTTCTGGTCATGCGATTGCATTGTGAAAGAAAAGGTGTGGAATGGATCAGAAAAAAATGATCATGTAGCATGTAAGTATTGGTGTCTACTGCAAGGTTCTGGAGTCATCAAAATCATAACTGTGGCCCAGTCTTGGTAAAGTAACAAGCACTGTGCACAGAAAGATGTATATATGGGACTACACAAATGGTGACAGGGCTAGTATACCTTGATTTCCTTATCTTTCTATGCTCATTACTCAGCCAGTATACATTTTCTACCAAAATTGTTTGGCAAATGACATTTATTTGTAATCTTGAACATTCAGTGTACCGTAAGTTTCGTTTGATTCTGTGAGAATTCATTTTCTTTTTTTACCAGAACTCCAGTTTATCTTTAACCTAGCGACTTGTGAAAAGTTTAATAGCGCCCTCTTTGTGTCAATTGTATTTTCCTACAGGCATTGAGAGCAGAGTACACACATGAGGAAAGGACTGTCCAAGAGAGTGCAAGGCTTGTTGGATTAGAACTCCCCAAGACACCACCACTCGGTGAATGAAAAGAATTATGGAACAATGATCGACTAAAAGAAATTTACATGTATTTTCCTGGAACTTTTATGAAGAAATTTACATAACAAGGAAGACTTAATTCTGAAATCTGAATGAGGGCAGCATGTCCAAGCCATCATGTAGGAGATCTATCCTCTGAGCCAGAGTATTTCCCATTTCCTGTTTATTGGACCAGACGACACCTGTAGTTCATGCTGTGCAAAGCCAAGGTTCACCTACTGGTATATTCTGATTGGGCTGTATGTATCAGGCCTGATAAATACCAGATTTAAATGTTTCCAGATTTATTTTTCCTCAGATTTGTTTTCTTCCCCGATTTACCCCCTATTTTCCCAATTTTCTTACTCAAAGGGGGAATGTTGTTAAATGCCACCACCCCTGATTCCTTTTGTTTTTTTTTACTTAAGGGGGGGGGGGGGGAGGGTGAGGAAGAACCCCCCCCCCCCTTTTTTTTTATTGCTCACTATCATCCCTGATGTATAATGGTTCTTGAATTAATCTTGGATACCACTCGTGCTAGAATTTTATTGATGGGTTCAATGTTTCCATTTTTTTCTTGTCCTGTGCTTTAGTCTTCATTCAAATTCATTGAATCTTGTTGAAGGCTGTTGTTTTAAGTTACGCTGATAAGGGCCCATTAACCGTCAACAACAAAAATACCCTTTAAAAGCTGTCATATTGACTTACTGTATATGTATGTATGAATCATATGAAAACCCTTTTCCATACAGGAATGAAAATGAACCTAATATTCAAATTTTTGAGTGTACTTTTCTAGTGCTCTTTGTTCAGCATTGAAAAGACAATAAATGCAAGATGTGTGTATGTGTAAGCAAATAAATTTCATGATACAATTTAACTGAGTCTTTTTGTGTATTTTGATTATTTAATATACATGTACATTATCCACCTTTTATCAGTTTACAACCTTGTAAAATGCCGTTAAGAGCACTTGTTAGAAAATAATGCAAATGATGTACTTGTGGCTTGCACAAAATATTATCACTAATATATCCAGTAAATTAATGAGATAATATAAACATCCTTCCTCAAGAAGCATTTACCTGGCCTCTTTAATAATGTAGTGAACTCCTTTCAAGACCAGTGTTTTTACAGTTTTCACATTAGCAGTATTGACAATCATTTGATAAAGCAACATGTTTCATAATCTGTACACATGTGTTTACATAATATCATTTGGAGCTCATTTCATTTTGCCTCAATGTAGCCTTTAACAATACCTCACCTTATTAATTAAAAGTTAATCTCATCTAAATTTTTGCAATTTTTACTCAAATAATCATTTTGGGCAAATGCAATACACAATGCGTACAACCTGCACATTATAAAACATTCCTAGGACTCAACAAGAATAAATGAAAACAACATTGACAAGATTTTCTTTTCTTAAAGCATAAAATTCAGTATACATCTTTATTACACCTTCCTCAAATAGAAGGGACAATGACAAATACAGCTCATTTGAAATACATGTATTATTTGAACAACTTTTCATGGAAGGAGTAATTTCAGCTTTTAACTAGATGAAGCAGACGTGTATGTTGCAGATCTTTATACAAATAAAATATTTTTTATCAAATTATCCATTGTAAAGAGTACACAGATAAAACATTTGCATAATTCACATGACACACACCTACAAGATGTACATGGAGACAATCTTGACAATCTTAAATGGCTAGAAACAATCACTCACGTTTTGAGTACTTTTGTAGAACACGCTCTAATTCAGGAAGTGTTGGGTTACATGACCAAAAAAGAACAGTCATGGTACGTGACGCAGAAGTTAACAAAAATGAATGTACCAGTCAATGGTTAATGAGAAGAGACGAACACAAAAGAATCATGCACGATTCTCCGGCTATGATCTCGGACGCCTCCATAAAAGTTGACTTAATCTGAGAGTCGGTGGCCGGGTCTCTCTACAAAGAGTGCATGTAAACTAAAAAAGACTACATACATGAAATATATGTCGTGACTAGTTTCAATAACAAAATGTAAAATGTACGGTTAAGTACGAAAAGAGTCGCGTCACATACCCAAAACGAAACAAAATGTCAACCCTGCACTTTGTAGATATTAGATAGCTTGTGTCTACAAAAGTACTCGAGACGCAACTGATCGTTAAAAGCCATCTTAGATGATTTTTGTATCTAACAGATTTCACATTTCATGTACCGGTACATTTAGCTCGAGTTTTCAAGTGTTGTTAAGAGAATAAATCGTCAATAAAAATGGTACAGTGTTTTGGCACTTCAAATAATCTTGTGTATATACCTAACATTTTTTTAATAATACTATTTCATTCCTACAATGAAGCACTAAATATATAAGTTAGTGTAATTTCCCCTTCTATTAAAAAAAAAGCCTTCATCATTTTGAATAAAAGCTAGAGGAAACTAAAAGCAGGAAACTGAAGGTTAAGGTTCATTTATAATGTTTAATTTCTTTTCATTTAGGAAGCAGAATTAAAGTGAAACAACCTTATTAAAGTCCCTTTAGTAAAGGGACTTTCGTAAGTTTGTTTCACTTTAATTCTGCTTTCTAAATGAAAAGAAATTAAACCTTTACCATCAATTCATGCCATGAAATAAAACGATGTCAGCTGTCAGTGTCACTTGGTGTCATACTCTTGAAGATAAGCATACCAAAAATACATTGATGTTCACCAAACGATATTTGGTTCAACTCGGCCATCAAACTCTATTTTCTAAGCAACTGTCTTGTCTAATCTAGAAAAATAAAATAAACAAAATATATGATTTACAGTATCTACCAAAGTCAAAAGGCACATTGATTGTAAAATGCATTAAAATTCACATCATTTGGTAAAATAATCTACTGCTGAATGTTTGATAGAAACACTCTTGATGAACAATTATCAACTGAGATGAGCTTTTACAAGTCTTGTTGCAAAGAACTGACATGTAGCTATGCAGGGTTCATGATGCATGAGCCTTTCATAGATCTTCTTCAGAAATTGTGATGTTCCTTCACATAGACTTTTTATGTTCAAAAAATATGAGAGTTCTTTGTAAGTTTTGTTTCCATAATTTAAATCACACTGCTCTCACATGTTTGTTCTTCTGCCTTAGCTATGTGTCGATGTACATTGTAACCAACAACTAATTTGCATTTTTTTAAATGTCTGTGAAGCTTCATCTGTAACTTACAAACCAGGTACTTTGATTTGGCTCGTCATGAGAAAGCCATAAAGTTATGATAACATTATAAATGTTTTCTCTTAATTAAGAGTAATTCAAGTATATCAAAGTTACAGCACAGATAACCTCCTTTCCCATGCATGATAAGTACATTGTGCTACCCTCCTGTCAATGTAGGACATCTCAAAGTTCAACAACACACATTTGTAATATCCCATTGTTTACATTAAGCCAATGTTTTCATTTTCCATTTCATAAGTAAGAATAGAACAATCGATCACATGACTGAACTGGAAAAAACCCTACAAAGTAGTGCATGTTGCATAGTCCATAAGTTTCAGTTACTAGACAAAAATCAATATACATGTACCGTTATTGCTTTCATTTCCAGTCCGGATACAAAGGTGCTTTGATAACATCAAATAAAAGCAAATACTGTATATAATGTACAGGACTTAAAAAACTATTTTGCTGAGACAATGGTATCTATCAAAATCCCATGGATTTCATATTTGCATGCTGTAACAACTTTCGTACTTTCATTAATACTGAACCGGAGGAAAACATCCTGATATCTCAATAAAACATCCTGATATCGCAATAAAACATCCTGATATCTCAATAAAACATCCTGATATCTCAATAAAACATCCTGATATCTCAATAAAACATCCTGATATCTCAATAAAACATCCTGATATCTCAATAAAACATCCTGATATCTCAATTAAAACATCCTGATATCTCAATAAAATGTCCAGATCCTGTACATGTACATTATAACATTTTAATTTAGAGTTAGAGATTTAGTACATTGTACCTATAAATGCAGTAAAATATTGCAGCAATATTTAGCACCACTAAATATAATTTAAGTAAACCGGAACACTTAATGCTCTAGAAAGTGAACATTATATAACTCTCAATTGTTAACATGCTAAAAAACAAGATATTTAAACAAAAAAAAGCACAATCATTTATTATTCTGAAGTACTTCAACATACTGGACTGGTGATCATTCAATATGATATTTATTTTGTCCCCTAAATAACCTGCAGCTGCAACATATTGCACGATTGCCATGCGGCACTTACTAATTACAGTCTTTGCTTTGATCTGACGTTTTTATACCAGTCAGGCCACTATCTACAATAGAGGTGTAGCATTACCATGAGCAGAGTCCATATTTACTTCTCAAGCTGATAAACATCATGTGGTTAGAAGTAAAACATGTGACTCGTGATGAACTTTATGGTACATAAATAAAACACAACCTACTCTACTTGAAATACCTTAATCTACTTTTATCTGCATTGCAGTTTCATGTTACAACTGCAGATCCATTCATGTTTAAACACAGTGCCATTGACCAGCAGGAATGTTTTGCTTGAGTTCAGACCAGACATGTACATGCATGTATGTTGAGGAACTGAATCCGATCTTGTATAAATATTAGCTTCTAAAGTAAACAAATTAACAACGTTGGTTTGAATATTATTATCAATTATTCTTCTCAATTATCAAACATTGCTTCCCTCATTTGAGGTAAGTACTTATCAATATAATCCATTGTAAAAAAATTCTTCAAGTACGCTAACGAGAGATCACCCCAAATTAGCAATACTTAATTGGAATTTGCAGAAGGAATAATATGAAACTGATACAGATTCCTAATGTCCTCATTAATTAGTTTAAGTACCCTTACCAGTACAGGTTGTTTCCTTAACCACACAGTCTACACAGAATTAATTACTTTCTAAATGACATCATGTAGGGGGTAATCCAGGGTTTGGGAAGACATTTCAGGATAAGGTCATAATTATTCATATCCTGACAACTTGATTGAATGACTTAATCAATCAGGTGTAAAAAGATCCTCTTAACATATATGACACCCTTACTCAGCATGACATTGCAATTTTTTTTTCTTCAATGTAGAATAATAGAACAGGATACATATCCAGATATCTTTCAGGATGGCATACATATAATTATAAAAAAAATTATTGGTTTTGAAGTCTTACTACATTGTAAAAATATATTTTGATGTAAGGTGCCATTAAAAAAAGCGTGAAAATTGTTAAAAATAGCTTTTTAAAATCATGGCTAAAAATATTCAATATCAGGGGAACTTATGACACTCTTCCCTCTCTTTTATTTAAATCAGCACTTCATGTGAGATCAGTTACGTGTATATAATCGTTTGCAAATACAGCGAAACCTGCTTTAGCGACCACCTGTCTATAAAGACCACATTTTTTGTTTTCTTTGACCTTTTCTTATAGAAACCTGTAATAAAAAAATCTGTACATAAAGACCGCCCGTCTACAGAGACCACTTACCAGTATCTTGTCACTCCTGAGGGGTCTTTATATACAGGTTTCTTTGTACAGACATACATCATGAATACTAATAATTTCTAATGCTGCTTAACATCACAACCTTGACAATACACCAGTCAGTACACGGTATAAAGATATCCCCAATAAATATAAATATAAGTCGCTCTTAAAAAATGGTGCAGCACATCCACTCAATCATGTAAACCATAGACACTTGCTCACGAAGGCCAAGCTGTTCTAACTGATCTTCACTCGCTCCTGGAGATGGAAAATTCACTATGGAGGATCTACATGTAGCGCATGAAATGGACGGCCGAGTACACATTACTTGTCCAATCAGAGGCTTGAGTGCCTTATCACTTCTCTCATACCTCGCATAATTGTTATCTTGCATCGCTGGATCTGTATCCCTACAGGTATGTATTGATTCAAGTACGGTACCATGTACCTTTCGGTCTAACCATGCCTGTATTTCCTCCGCCGAGAGGTCGGACTAAAGTAAAGAGTACCATATCACTTTGCTCATACCTCATGTACACAAGAATTGTTATCTTGCATCACCAGATCTTTACCCCTACAGGTATGTGTCGATTCAAGTACAGTTCCATCAAACTTTCTGTCTAACCTGCCTGTATTTTGTCTGCCGAGAGGTCGGACTGAAGTAAAGAATACCATATCGCTTCACTCATACCTCATGTACACAAGAATTGTTATCTCGCATCACCAGATCTTTACCTCTATGTATCGATTCCAGTACGGTACCATCAGCCTTTCTGTCTAACCTGCCTGTATTTTGTCTGCCGAGAGGTCGGACTGAAGTAAAGAGTACCATATCGCTTTGCTCATACCTCATGTACACAAGAATTGTTATCTTGCATCACCAAGTCTTTACCCCTGTGTATCAATTCCAGTACGGTACCATCGACCTTTCTGTCTAACCACGCCTGTATTTCCTCTGCCGAGAGGTCGGACTGAAGTAAAGAGTACCATATCGCTTTGCTCATACCTCATGTACACAAGAATTGTCATCTTGCATCACCAAGTCTTTACCCCTGTGTATCAATTCCAGTACGGTACCATCGACCTTTCTGTCTAACCACGCCTGTATTTCCTCTGCCGAGAGGTTGGACTGAAGAAAGAGGTGAACCGCGGCATCCGATAAGAATGACCTTTCCTCTATGACTCTGTTTTCAAAGACAAAAAGGAGATAATAGTTGCTTTATACAGTGAAACCTGTTTACAAAGACCACCCAAGGAAGACAAGAAAATGGCCTTTATAGGCAGGTGGTCTTCATGTACAGCCTTTAGTACATGTTTCAATTAGTCTTACAGAATGTTACTTTAGAGAAAAGGCTGTTTAAAATCTATTGTCTATTTTAGCACTCTTGACTCTCAAGGTTGTGCAAGGTCACGGAAGGAGGATTAAAACTCTATAGAAATTGCTGTGAAGTGATTATCTGATTCCCCTTACAACACATTGCATACTAATCAAGCACATCCTGATCTTTATTTCTTCAAGGAATCAATGTAATAGCTTACTCTGTTTTAAAGATATTTGAGATCAAAATTAGAACAGTAGCAAGAGTTAATAAAACAAAACTACTACAGCAAACTGATAATCAGAAAAAAACATAGGTCTACAAAATACCAACATATACCGATACCACTTTTAAATTGTTTTGTGCTTCCAAATTTGAAATACCATAGGAAAGCGTAAACGCTTTCAGGAAATGCTAAAAACTCAATTGTGACCATCCTGACCAAATATAACCTTATTGAGCTTTAATTGAAAACCACACTTTGCAACTTTTTGGTGGTTTATGATCCAGGTCACATTTTTCCTGCCTTTTTTTCTTTTGATTACCTTTAAAGCAACACAAATAAACTTACTTGTTGAGGAATTCCTTAAGGCCAATCATCCTCTTTTCTGCAAAATCTCTGTCGAACAGGTTTAATAAAGTCCTTGTGGGCAGATCTGGTACAGCTCTATAAATTCACAAATACAATAAAAGAGAAAAAAAAGGCAACCTTAATTACAACTCTAAATAAAAGCAGAAAATAAGAAAGTTATCAACTTTTGAAAGTTGTCATCACTATCGGTATGTATGTATGGAAACTTTAATTGGCTGAATCGGTTAGTCACTGTGATACAGTGCCCAACTTGCCAAGTTGTTCCAACACTAAAATGACCAAAATATATTTCTTTTTCAATACCCGGTATGTATGACTCAGGGTGGTCTTCCTTTTTTAGAAGACCTGTAACAATATACTCTCCATAATATATTATGAGCAGTGCCTAAGTGTACCGTAAGGCACTTTGAAGAAAAACTGAAATTGATGATATTTGTGTACACAACCAACTGGAGAGTTATTCGCCACTAAGTCACAATCTACAGACGAAAGATTGCCAATTTGAGATTCAAGTAGCTGTAGTGATCATATATTTCAAATGAACTTCTAACTGGAATGCCCTAATAGTTGATAGTTTGTATACAGAAGATGTGTCCCAAGCTGTCTTTATTATTTATTTCATACCCATTCAACAACAAAATATGCTCTTATAATGCACAAGTAAATAATGTACATTCATTATAAAAAATTGTGTTAACTATTTCAGAATAGCTCCATAATTGGAACATAATTTGAAGAGCTTGATTCACAAACTCAGAGGAAAGAGAGAATAAATTGTCATGGTAACTGCTCATGCCCATAGATTGGCATGTTTCCAGGCCACTGGGACTGTACATTTTTCATTGTTGTGACTGATAACGATGCAGGAAATGTGACTTTGTGACTTTTGCAAAAGCTTTAAAGATAAAGTTGAGCTCTGGTCATGCGATTGCATTGTGAAAGAAACAGTATGGAATCGATCAGAAAAAGCTGATCATGTAGCATATTGGTATTGGTGTGTACTGCAAGGTTCCGGAGTCATCAAAATGATAAGAAATTTGTCCCAGTCTTGGTAACATAACAAGCACTGTACACAGAAAGATGTATATGGGACTACACAAACATGTGGCATAAAATAGGGCCTCATTTTTAAGCTGTTACTTGTCATATTTAGAATATGAAGGCTTTTTAAGAGCAATGCTTTTCAGGGGATATTTTTTCTCTGATGTTCTTCCACACTTGCATAATAACAATGATAATGCTCACAAATTATTTTCACCCCTTCCCAGAACTCAACCTTCTCTTTAATTTCTGCACTTTGTATGTTCATAAACTCATTAGTGTATGAATTAGAGCTTCTAATTTACATAATACTAGTACGTACTAGAGAGTTTAAGAAAAGGTTACATGTATGTGTGATAATCATTCCAGTGAAGGCCTTGCTCTGGTAAACTAAATCTATGGTATTCCTGCTTACTTTCTTATAAATGAACAGCCAGATTCCAATCTTCTTCTCAGCCACACAAATTCAGAGAATGTTCGCCATACGCATGTTGATGGAAGGTGGAAACAAATATCATTGGACTGTAGAGAAAAAACAACAACAACAGAAAAAGCATTAGCATTGTCCATCTTTGCGATGTACAGATAATGTACATGAACAATTGAGCCTAAACAAAATGTAAACAAGAATACAGATTCATGATTTGATTTTTTGATAGCACCATAAAACCTGAAGTACTTGAGGGAATATTTTCAAATTCAACTGACACTAATTCCACTAGAGAATCAGTTTTGAAGAGCTAGAAAGATTTGAAGTCTCTATGTAGGTAATACTGGAAATTGCTGAACTCATCATGGTATTAACTGATCAACTTCTGTTTCACATTAAAGGATACTTTTGAAGAGGAAAAACATTCATGCATTAAACATTTTTTTTAAAAGGTCACAATTCTGCCTACATATATCGGTGGAGCAGGAACTACATTCTTCTTGATTATTTGCACAACTATTTGCTTAACTCACGTGTGTGTGCATACACTAAACAATGACAATGGTAAAATCCACCAAAGTGATAAGCATAATAGCCTACCTGCATGCTGATCTTATACAAGGTGACTTTGGACCCCGAGTTGTCTGTGGAGGAAATCGACTCAGGCACATCAAGAACAGTTAGAACCTGGAATGAAAAGAACAAAAGTAAACAATGAGATTGCATTTTGTATAAGTTCATTTATAGTTTATACATGTATATTACCACAAAGTACAAGGATCTGAAAATCAGACTTTTTTCTATGTGTAATTTAGGTACCGGTAGCGTGTTTCGAAAATGTCTAACAGTAGATTCATTTATTCCACATAATGACAATCACCAGTTCTAATCTTTTAAGTGGAGTTTTTAGTTGGTATTAGCTCTTGTTTACCATAGGATTGACACAAGTTTATATTATCAGCCTGCAAAAGGGACACATCACCTGCACCTTTAAAAATTAGGGTCTATTATTACAAATGTTCACTAAATGTAAACGTATCTAGGGTATCAAATATGAAACTGCATGGTGTCGCATTTTGCACATGATGTGTTTCAATAATCAACACCCAGGCTATCTTCACTTGCATTGCATCTCATGAGTGGAATATAATATTTTGTGTGCCGGTTCATGTAATATGCTGGTACAAATATCCAGGTAATTTATACAAGCCATACATGTACAGGTGTAGATTGTTAACAATTTAACATACATTAGAGGAAGGGCATGAAAGTGAATCCCAATAAAGATCTACATGTATGATAATGGGGAAATTCACGAAAACAAGACAATGGAGGAAAACAAGATTTATAGCACTTCAACATCTGAGCTTATTGAGCTGTGCAGGTACTTACATAGGATTCTCAGGCTACAGTTGTATTCCGGTACTAAAAGCCACTTTACATGTACATACCGGTAGTTTATATACTGTAGCCCACAGAACAGGATGTACTGTAAGGAAGGAAACCCCTTTATCATTTCAAGGTTCTATTTCAGGACTTTCACTGAAATTCAGTACCGTAATATGCAATAACTACCATACTACTTTATCATTTTAATTACACCATAACTGTGTACATGGTATGTACATAATTGGGCATATACCTACATGTATACTGTAATTTAAGGAAAATCCAACCATGATTTACTACTCTAGTCTAATAGAAAGCAGCAAATATCAGAGAAGCATTCTGGTGAAAGTTTGAATGCAATATAGGAATGTGCTCTTTAAATTGGCTGCTCTAATGGGTAAATTGTTCACAAAAAAATCCGAAACATGAGTTCGCTTATTCAAAATTTTTGAAAAATGGGCTTTATTTCGAGAAAATCAGCCAAAAAGGCCCCTCAAAATGGATACAGGTTCTGAGGCTTCAGCGGCACACCCCCGTCAAAACCAAATCTCAGTACCCCCCCCCCCCCAGGATCTCATCCCAACAGGCCCCAGAATGCTACAAAAAATATAACATGTACACCTTCTCTGGACAAAAAAAAATTCTCTGCTTGGAGGAGTTTTAAAGGGGATGTACTGCAGCATGATGAGACTATGTGTCTTTCCTGTGGCCCGACTTGTGGCCAATCAGGTATAAGACTGCGGACGACTAGACCGCAGTATTCACGTGCGTGCAACATACGTGAAACTGAAGCGTGAGTAACTCCGGGAATCGTGGCGAAGAGGAAGTACGCATGCGCGCCACAGTAGCGCATACTTTCTCTTCGCTGGTTGAACCTTTCCATCGAAGACTTCTTCAAATTATAATTTCAAGTTGCCGGATAGATGCCCAGAGGAGTCGAGCAACCTAGTAAGTCAAAATTGTAATTACTCCCTTTGCATATTTTGAGGTAATGTCGCCTAACCCGCTGTTAGAATGTTTTTTGATGCACCACCCGAAACTCCGACACCTTCGGCATCGGAGCTTCATGGAGTTAAAGCGTGAAGAGTTCGGTCTGTTTCGCTAACGCTAGCACGTACTGTCATTTACATGCAGTTTTCCAAAAGAATTTGAAGATGGTGTTAACCAGTATTTGCCATGCTACACCCCCTTCAATTAACTTTTTTTGTCTCAGCAGACCATATCCCCAAACAAAATAAACCATTTTTAGTCTAACCTGCCCAAAAGCCCAGTTGACGAGCAAATCTTTTAGGTTACAGCTTTCTACTTCCAAAATCCCCAGGAATACTCAGTGTGAGAATATATCTGATGGCGATAGCATGTGCTACTATAGACTGAATTTTTCTGTCTCTTTCGTTCATTAGCCCTGACCCTACCCAAATCAGAGGCTAATGAACGAAAGAGACAGAAAAATTCGGTCTAGTACTACTACCACCGTGAATGCCTTTAAAGCGAGTATGGAAGGACAAGCGTTTCTGCTCCCCATATGAGTAGAATACCTGACACAGAAATGAGCCAGACAACCTTATCAGATGAAGACACCCAACTACGAAAATGGAAGAAAATGAAATTGAACTGGAAGCCCGACTGCTGAGAACACAGCATTCTTCCAGAATCTTGGGTAAAGGTAAAGGTATAGTATTATAGCAACGAAGAAGGGATCCGAGGCTGTTTTAAAGAAGAAATTATGTCAGAACTGTCAGATATTCCAGATATTGTGTAATGTATGTTAATATGTGCATGCATTTATCAGCCAGTATTTTTATTTCTTTTTTATTAGATAAGAACAAACACAAACAAAACAAGTGCAAGCACTTGTACTTACAATTGACAGACTGCATGCAGTACAACATTTAAAAAATATGAATTTATGAAACAGAACTTCAGAAGTCAGAATAAAAGATGCTTAACAAAAGACTTAGAATCTAGTAGTAGCTAGACCCTACAGTAATTAATGCCATTAAGAATAAAATATTAACGTAAAATAGATTTACCTGCGAGATTCTGTTAACAGGAGTTATGTCATCAGATTGAAGACTTAAATCAGAAGCAATGTCTGAGCTGCAACTACTAGCAATGCTCATGCTAGTGTCAAGCTCGGGCGGTGAGCCGACTGGGCTGCTCCCTTCACTCGTACTCCGCTCCATTCTGCTTTTTGATACGTCCATGGGAGATGTCGACGTGCCGGTACCAGTATCTGTTGTTATCATTGTCTTACTTTTCTTACTCACTTGAGTCAGTTATCACTAAATTGACGTCTTCAAATCTAACTTCCACCACTTGTAAAATCAAACTGAAAGCGAAATTAAAAATATTTAAACGGAATAATCCAGGAAGTTCGACGGACTTTTATGGTCAAGTTGACAACAAATAATTCCAAGCGCGCGTACTAGTAAAATGTAAACGCCGGTGATCTTCTGGAAATCATGTGATGAAGGCATGCGGATGCGATATGCCGCGCCGCGTGCAATTAATGCAACGGACTGGGTATTTCGTCATAGCAGAAGACGATGATGTAATCATTCAGCGATCGTCAAAATCCAGTATTGTGATTGGTGAACCTTTTACGTGACGTAGGCAAAATGAAGACTCATTAGCATTTGTAAACAAACAGACAAGAAAGGGACCCACCGAATCAAAGAAGGGACGCTAGGTTTTGGCGCGTTCTTTTCCGATAGGTGACATTTGTCAATCAATTTTGGTAGAAAATGTATAGTGCCAGTGGTTGAATAATGAGCACAGAAGGAAATCCGGGTAAGTAGGCCCGACACCGGCATGAGTGCTTAACACATAGATCTATGCAGGCGCGTACGCAGGGGGGTGTTTGGGGGGTTAAACCCCCCCCCCCCCTTTGGTATTTTTATGTGTGTAAACCCCCCCCCCCCCTTTGTTTTGTTTTTTTTTTTTTTTTTTAATTATTTAAAAAAAAATTTAAAAAAAAAAAAAATCACCCCCATGGCTGACCTAAGAAAGGTGACCTTACCCCCCCCCCCCAACGGAGCAAAATGTCAATTTTTCAAATTTTGAGACCAAAAAAAAAGTGTCCTCTTACCCCCCCCCCCCCCCCCCCCCCCCCTCCCCGCTTATTCAGCGGTCGGTTGAGTCGTTGCGATTTTTTTTAGACCAAAAAAAAAAAAAAAGTGTCCGCTTATCCCCCCCCCCCCCCCCCCCCCCCCCCCCCCCCCCCCCCACTGAGCGACTTTTTGGCCGGCGCGATTTTCAAATTTTCCTGAGTCGTTTTTCCCGATTTTAAACCCCCCCCCCCCCCCCCCCCCCCACCTTGAAAAAATCCTGCGTACGCCACTGGATCTATGCCACTATTATAATGTGCAAATGGAAGTTGTGGTTTTTAACGAAGATGATTAGTTTTAATTGTGCGTTTGTTTTTATTTTACTGGTTCAAACAATCAATCTACTGCAGGATAAGCAATCCAAAATGAAATTATTCTCTCGACATACGATCCCCATGCCAGAACTCAAGATTAATAGCTTTAAATCAGGTGTTAATTAGAACATGGTCCATGCACGGTCAGACTGCATGTGCATGGTCACCTAATAATATGAACAACGCCACCACCGCCAATAACAACAAGCACACCCCTTTCGAATATTGAAAGTGATTTTTTTTTTTTCTTCAAAATATAAATGAAGACTATATTCAAGCTGTTTAAAAATAATAATGCCGAAGTTGTCAATCTTTGCTATCGTTACATCACTTTCAGGCGCCGTTCTAGTAGAAAATAGTATTACCAAGACAAGGAGGTCTTTCTCCTAAGCGTCCCCTAGCGAGTTGTCATTCAAAGATTGTGACTTTTCTTTCATTTTCTTTTTGTTCTCATACCTCATGCACTACTGGAGTACAGTAACGTTTTTTGCCCCCCCCCCCCCTCCCTCCTCGTGCAGCTCCGCGCCCCGGAAGAAGAAGAAGAAGAAGAAGAAGAAGAAGAAGAAGAAGAAGAAGAAGAAGAAGAAGAAGAAGAAGTAGAAGAAGAAAGAGAAGAAGAGAAAGAAGGAAAAACCGACCCCCGAAAAATATGACATACCTAAAATACACCCAATCCCCCGACCCCCGGATAACATTTGGAATACAAAATTTGTTATCATTTTGATATAGTCCACTCGTCTGATTAAAAAAAAAAAAAAAAAAACATCACGATGCCCACGCCCCCCCCCCCCCCCTAATTTCAGAGCAGAGATCGACTGTACCCGTCATCGACCCTCAAAGCTTCCGAGAGTAGATCTACATCACTTGGGAGTTATCAAAAGCACAAAATACAATATTATCCCAAGGATAATACCATTCCATATTTTTCATCCATTGCCCCTTTCACACCGATGGCTGCTGTGTGTGGCTACAAAACCAAGTGAGAACATACTGCAGTTACTTCAGAGTGGCTTTCACCGGTGGCCACTTGTGTGTCTCTAAGAAAGATCATTAACTCACGTCTGAATTATCAAAGCTCACTTCAGAAAGTTACTGCAAGCGGGGGTGGGTCTAGGAGGGGTCAGAACCCCCTCCTAGAGTAGGCAGCATTTGCAATTTTAGAACCACATTAGGCGCATTTTCAGGCACTTCCTGTATGAAAAGCTGTATTCCCTGCCCCCCCCCCCCCCAAAAAAAAGAGCCATTTTTTCCACAGAGCTAGTCTGTTTGCGTCTTTTTCCCATGTTAAAAAAAACAAACATTGGTGGTACTTCTTAGTGTATAGCACAGTGGTCATCGCCATTATTACTTGTAATCAGTATTGTTTCATTAATATCTCAGCTTTGTCTATGCTGGTTTTAAAACTATTTTGATTATTATTTATTATTATTAAACAAATCATTATCATTTTCATTACTATTATTATCATTTTTTGTAATTTTGTAATTATTAATTATTATCGTTATTATTATTAATGGCAAGAAATGAGATTCCTTCCTGGATCTTGCCAATATAACAGAATTCTGAAATCATATGTGCTGACTGCTGACATGAATGCTTTATTTACAGAGTAGGCCTATTAATCAATTTTTAGTTGTATACAGCAGAAGGTAATACAATGCCAAACCATTGATTTAATCAATAGCAGACTGTCAACCTAATTTTCCTCCTAGTTTTAGGTTTTATATTTTGTTCTTCTTGTCTGATTCATGTGAGTGGGATATATTTTCAATGAGCTTTCATCAGCGCTGACTAAATCTTTTTGTATAGTCTACTTGTCAGAGATTTTTTTTCTTCATCACGGTGCCCACGACCCCCCCCCCCCTCCCCCAATTCAGGGCAGAGTAACCGACTAAGTTCTTCAGGGAGCCCACGCCCTCCCCCCCCCCCAAGTCAGGGCAGAGTAACCGACTACGTTCTTCAGGGTGCCCACGCCCCCCCCCCCCCCCCAATTCAGGGCAGAGTAACCGACTAAGTTCTTCAGGGTGCCCACGCCCTCCCCCCCCCCAAGTCAGGGCAGAGTAACCGACTAAGTTCTTCAGGGTGCCCCCCCCCCCAATTCAGTGCAGAGTAACCGACTGAGTGTACCCGTTACTGGCCCTCAAATCTTCCGAGAGTAACTGAAATAACTCCAGAAATGGTATTTGAATTATTTCAATAGTGAAAGAAAAGAAATAGATATTGTCAGATTTTCTTTTGGTGTGTACGTCATTCCAAGGAATTTTTATGATACACTATAAAAAGGCAAAACTTAAATGTGAAACTATCAACTTTTACTTGTTCCTCTGCTCATGCTACACAGCTTATCTTGTGTACACGATAGATTTGACGTCCTTCTGACATCAATTTAACGTTTTATTGCATGTATTTTAAAAATAGCAAGTCATTAAAAGTGCAGTGCATGTAAATTGTCACCATGCAGGTTGAAGGGAAGGTTATGTGTACGTTTACAATCGACAATCATATTGCTTCCGGAGAGTTATGCGCGTCATTGATGATTTATTATCATATATAGTCATGGTTTAATTTTTTTCTTCTTTTTTTGGAGGGGGGGGGGGGCTAGCGGCCCAAGCCCCCCCCCCACCAGTACGCCAGTGATTTTTCAGGCACTATACGGCTTAACATAAACAAGCATGGTTAGAATTATATTTCAGAATGAATATTAATTAAAGACTTGCAACACATTTTCGCATCACCACAAGCTACATAATTATGGTGAACGCTGTCACTTTAAAAGTATGCCATTTCGATTCGACTTCTTTTTCTTCTTCAACCGTATGAAGAACGAGTTTAAAACAAAATGACCATGGTTATTTGTTATTTTACAGCATCTGAAAAATGCAAATGATTTTCATATTTCTCAACAAAATTATTATTATACAGAATTGAAATTATGAGTTTTTCTTTTATTAAAACACACAATATACCCCAAAACCTTTCCCTTCCTTTTCTCCTCTGTATACTCCTTGGACTTACCCCCTCCCCATCCCTTACCCCCGACCCCTCTTCCCCTTCCTCTCCCCTCCCTTCTGCTTGTGTGGATAGGGAATGTATTCTGGGAAGGGTTTCTTTACTATATCGAAATGACTTAAGTTGTTGCCTTTGTTCCACCTTTACCTCGCTCTCCCTAAACTTCCCAGTTTTCCCATTTTCTCAGATGCAGGGCAAATCTATTTCTCATCAATGCCAAATTCTTTTCCTCCAACTCATCTTCTTTGAAGCTGCGTTTAATTTCATCCATGGTTATAGATCGACTCCGTTCTCTTCCCATAAAAATCGATTACTTTACCAGAATTAAAAAGTGATTTACGAACTGCTCCTTTCCTTGATCAATTAATGTTATTGCAAAAAGTATATCCTCCCAACTTATATTAGGTATGTATATAAAGTAAAACATATTGCAGTTGTTCCATATCCATATCAAACAATTTTTTTCACATTAAAAAAACAAGTGACGACAAATCTCCTCTTTCTTTTTTGCAAAAGCAACACAAATTAGTTTGGCGATTCCAAATTGATACAAATAGTGATTTGTGTAAATAATTCCATGCATGCAGTATTGCATGGAACTCCCTTAATCGGTTTTTAATGAACCTAGTCTTGGTCTCCTAAAAAAAGTTTCAATGTCTTTAAAAGAAAAACTTGTTTATCTTATATACATTCTTTCAAAAATATTGGCGTTACTGATTTCTGTTTAAGAAATTCCGTAAAGATTTTTGTTGATATATACAATATCATGCATTCAGGCGCGGATCCAGGAATTTCCAATGGGGGGGGGGGGGGGACGGAAATTTGAAAAT